GTGTTGATGTGGGTGGTGGTGTGGGTGGTGGTGTGGGTGGTGGTGTGGGTGGTGATGTGGGTGGTGGTGTGGGTGGTGATGTGGGTGGTGGTGTGGGTGTTGATGTGGGTGGTGGTGTGGGTGGTGGTGTGGGTGGTGGTGTGGGTGGTGGTGTGGGTGGTGGTGTGGGTGGTGGTGTGGGTGTTGATGTGGGTGGTGATGTGGGTGGTGGTGTGGGTGGTGGTGTGGGTGGTGGTGTGGGTGTTGATGTGGGTGGTGGTGTGGGTGGAGGTGTGGGTGGTGGTGTGGGTGGTGGTGTGGGTGGTGGTGTGGGTGTTGATGTGGGTGGTGGTGTGGGTGGTGGTGTGGGTGGTGGTGTGGGTGGTGGTGTGGGTGGTGATGTGGGTGGTGGTGTGGGTGTTGATGTGGGTGGTGGTGTGGGTGGTGGTGTGGGTGGTGGTTTGGGTGATGATGTGGGTGGTGGTGTGGGTGGTGGTGTGGGTGTGACGGTGGGGGTGTAAAATAAGTCCTACATAAGCGTAATATTTCATCTACCCACACCAACAATCCACCCACCCACACAAACTATCCACCCACCCACACAAACAATCCACCCACTCACAGAAACACTCCACCCACCCCCACAAACAACCCACCCACCCACACAGACGATCCACCCACCCACACCAACAATCCACCCACCCACACAGACTATCCACCCACCCACACAAACAATCCACCCACCCACACCAACAATCCACCCACCCACACAAACAATCCACCCACCCACACAAACAATCCACCCACCCCCACCAACAATCCACCCACCCACACAAACAATCCACCCACCCCCACCAACAATCCACCCACCCACACCAACAATCCACCCACCCCCACCAACAATCCACTCACCCACACCAACAACCCACCCACCCACACCAACAATCCACCCACCCCCACTAACAATCCACCCACCCCCCACAAACAATCCACCCACCCCCACAAACAATCCACCCACCCACACAAACAACCCACCCACCCACACAAACAATCCACCCACCCACACAAACAATCCACCCACCCCCACCAACAATCCACCCACCCCCACAAACAATCCATCCACCCACACAAACAATCCACCCATCCCCACAAACAATCCACCCACCCACACAAACAACCCACCCACCCACACAAACAATCCACCCATCCCCACAAACAATCCACCCACCCACACAAACAATCCACCCACCCACACAAACAATCCACCCAACCACACAAACAATCCACCCACCCACACAAACAATCCACCCACCCTTATAAACAATCCACCCACCCCCCACAAACAATCCACCCACCCCCACAAACAATCCACCCACCCACACAAACAACCCACCCACCCACACAAACAATCCACCCATCCCCACAAACAATCCACCCACCCCCACCAACAATCCACCCACCCACACAAACAATCTACCCACCCACACAAACAACCCACCCACCCACACAAACATTTCAGACCACTTTCATCTCTTAATATCGTAAGATTTGGCGAGATTACACTAGATTAGGTTAGGTTAAACTATTATAGATTCCGTTAGGTTAAAATATTATAGATTGGGTTAGATTATATAAGGTTAGGATAGGATAAGTTAGGTTAAGTTGAGGAGGTAAGATTAAGTGTGTTTAAAGAATAGACATGACGTGAAGGGAGGGTGGTATAGATACATCTCCCATGGTTCAAGGGGGCGGTATAGTTACTTTTCCCATGGTTCAAAGGGGGGGGGGGGGGGAATAGATACTTTACCCATGGTTCAAACTGCCTGGATTAAGCGGGGCCTCGGCCCCCCCTCCTTCCCTGCAGGTCTGGAGCGAGGTGATGGGGTGTTCGGCCCCCTCGTCGTCCACCAGCCCATCACCAAGGACCCCAAGCAGATGCTCTCGGAACACCTCCTCACCGTAAGTGCTCACTCCTCCATCTACCTGAATTTGCAACCCGTTCTCGCACTTGCTTATAGTCAATATTGACTTATTTAATAAGTGCATATGTGACATACTAATTGATTGTGAATATTTTAGTTTACCTTGAAAAGCTTCATAGAAAACACCGACCTCACCTAACCTTCTTAGTATGTTAAGATAAGCATCTTATTGCTTCTTAATTACAATTATTACTTAACCTATACCGTTGATCTCTCAATCCCTCCTCTCGGCTTGTTGTGAGCGAGTTGATTCACATACTAGCTATCATCAACGCCTGTAATGATGACTAACAATGAGACCAACGGGTAATAATTGAGGTAATGAGACTTGCAGGAACGTGAAAATGCGTTTAATATCAATCTAGTTGGTAATGTTAAACATAGTATTAATATACAGCTCATCCTCCTGAAATGATAGCACTTATACCAACTGTTTTGGTCGAACGTACAAAAATGGACTGTTCCAGCCATCAGCGTTCATGTTTTTCACTATATATTTTGTAGAAGGCACGAGAGAAAAGCCAAAGACTAAACTGAATTAAACATTCCTAGGCCTAGTATAGCGCATATATGTGCAATTTTAGTCATTAGGGGAATATTAGGCCTGGAATTGCTTGGACAGGTTAGGTTAGGGCCACTATTTTTTTTTCAAATTTTCAATTTTTTTTTCCCATTTTCTAAGCCTGCCATTTGGGCTAAAGCAACAATACAGAACGTGAACTTTATTGCGTCCAACAGTCCATTTTTGAACGTTCGACTACATACTTGCTGTAGTACTATCATTTAACGATGATGGGCTGAAATCCACATAGCCTCACAATTAAAGAAATACTTTAAAAGTTAACTTTACTAGGCTGTTGATAAACATCAAACCCTTAACTTTCTTTATTTCAACAAAGTTTCGTTGATAAACATCAAAATCCATACAAGTTACTTATGAAAAGCATCTCTCGAACACACGTGTGCAATAACTAGTTAACCCACATTACAATATTCATTTATATAAAGCGATATACTGTTTGAGAGTACAAGTCACCCCATGCTGTACCCCACCACATTCTGTACTCCCACTCACCACATGCTGTACCCCACCACATTCTGTACTCCCACTCACCACATGCTGTACCCCACCACTCACCACATGCTGTACCCCACCACTCACCACATGCTGTACCCCACCACTCACCACATGCTGTACCACCACTCACCACATGCTGTACCACCACTCACCACATGCTGTACCACCACTCACCCCATGCTGTACCCCACCACTCACCACATGCTGTACCCCACCACTCACCACATGCTGTACCCCACCACTCACCACATGCTGTACCCCACCACTCACCACATGCTGTACCACCACTCACCACATGCTGTACCACCACTCACCACATGCTGTACCACTGCAGATCAACGACTGGTCCCACAAGTCAACACAAGCACAATACGCCAACAAGAACAGTGAAGGAGGAGACCCCAAGCCCGACGTCTTGCTCATTAACGGAAGAGGACCTCAACAGGTGAGTGCCAACACGGAAGAGTCAACAGGTGAGTGTCAACAGGTGAGTGCCAACATGGAAGAATCAACAGGTGAGTGTCAACACGGAAGAATCAACAGGTGAGTGTCAACATGGAAGAATCAACAGGTGAGTGTCAACACGGAAGAGTCAACAGGTGAGTATCAACAGGTGAGTGCCAACAGAGGTACGTCATCACGGACCATCAGGGGAGTGTTTACATGGGAGTGTCACGTATCAGAAGATGTCAGCATGAAACTGTTAACTGGCGATTGTCAGGTAATTCTAAGAGAGAAACAGAAAGAGAGAATGCCTCTTGGCATATGTCCAGTATGACAAGGGGATGTCTGGGTTCGAATCCTTCAGGGGAGGAGGGGTAAGATTTTCTGATGCATGTTGACTTGGAGACCATTCAAGCTTGACGCACATTTTAAAAGCACTACAATCACCTTCTGTGGTGGATTGTTCAATAAATCCCTGAATTGTATGATTAACAGATCTCTCACCCTATCCATAAAGGACAAAAGAAAATGTATATATGCTGGTTAGCACTGTAACTGTGTAGCCACGTCTGTGGTAGAGAATAATAATATTAAACACAAAAGTAAACATATTATATAAGCCACTAAGGTTGAACACTTCCTCCGCCCGCAGCACCAGTGGGCAGGCGCCGGCTCCGACGGCCCGCCCCGCGTTTCCTACTCAAGATTCATGGTAGAAAAAGGTACGTTCCCGCCAAGAACTTCTCCCGTCGCCAGTGTTAATTATCTTCTCAAAACTGTCCTCATGTGAAGAGTATATATAAATATATATATATATAGGATCAGTGTGTATATGCCCGCCCTCCCTCCATCTGCGGTCCCAATAACAACTTACACAACAAGTTCTTACAACAAGTGTAAGTTACAACTTACAACAAGTTCATCACTGTACTCTTCAGGCACCCGCTACCGTCTGAGGGTCATCAACGCCGCCAGCACTAACTGTCCGGTGACGGTCACTCTTGACAAGCATGACCTCATACTCTTGGCTGCTGACGGTGCCTCCGTCTCTCCCGTCAACGTCTCAGCCATACTTCTTCATCCAGGTGAGTGTACTGGCTTCTTCAGGCGAGTATACTGTCTACTCCAGGTGAGTATACTGCCTCTTCTAGTTGAGTATACTGCCTGCCCTTGGTGAATATAGTGCCTTTTTTGGTGAATATACTGCCTGCCCCAGGTGAGTATACTGCCTTCTCTTGGTGAAAATACTGCCTTCACTTGGTGAATATACTGCCTTCTCTTGGTGAATATACTGCCTTCTCTTGGTGAATATACTGCCTTCTCTTGGTGAATATACTGCCTTCTCTTGGTGAATATACTGCCTTCTCTTGGTGAATATACTGCCTTCTCTTGGTGAATATACTGCCTTCTCTTGGTGAATATACTGCCTTCTCTTGGTGAATATACTGCCTTCACTTGGTGAATATACTGCCTTCTCTTGGTGAATATACTGCCTTCTCTTGGTGAATATACTGCCTTCTCTTGGTGAATATACTGCCTTCTCTTGGTGAATATACTGCCTTCTCTTGGTGAATATACTGCCTTCTCTTGGTGAATATACTGCCTTCTCTTGATGAATATACTGCCTTCTCTTGGTGAATATACTGCCTTCTCTTGGTGAATATACTGCCTTCTCTTGGTGAATATACTGCCTTCTCTTGGTGAATATACTGCCTTCTCTTGGTGAATATACTGCCTTCTCCAAGTGAGTATACTGCCTTCTCTTGGTGAATACACTGCCTGCACCAGGTGAATATGTAACGTATCGGAAACGAAACAAGAGGACGAAATGAATAATGAATTAATGAGTGAGGGTTTGGGGTGAGGGAGGTAGAGAGGTGGGAGGAGTAAGGAGTAGAGTCTGGGAGTAGCGAGGAGTGGTCAGTTGAAATGGGAAAGTTTAGAATGAGTGGGAGTGACTGAGGTCAAAGGGGGGAGATTAGAAAAGTAGAAGGTAGATGAGTAGAAAGTAGACGTAGAAAGTTAGAAGTGTAGATAAGTAGAACTGTAGAAAAGGGGCTGCCACCATCCATCCTAAGTCAGTACATACAAGATAAGGAATGGAACTTGTCTGAATCACAAAATTACCCAACATGTCCCAACTCTAACCATATACTCATATAAAATCATAAAATCAGTAAACTCAGAGGCTCTCTCGCCTCAACTCACAAAGCTCCAGGGAACAAAATTAGAGACAATTTAAACAACAAATTCATCAATTATATTTAACATGATAAGTATCATAATTCAAGCAATCGAACTTAAGGTTCACTATATCAGGATTACTATACAATGTGATTCATTACACAAGACATTGAGGACACTACAGTTGTCTGCCCCTGATAATCACAAAACTCTTAACGGTTGGAAAACACGAACTAAGTCACCTTAATGTTCACTCACCATGGAATGAGCCTAAGTAGAATAGGGGGGAGGGGGTCTACAGTTGACAGGTAGAGTCCCCCCCCCGTCAGCCGACAGCCTGTCTCGGCTGCTGTCTGCTGATGCTCTGCAGTCTGCTGGTCCTATGCTATACTCTGATCCTCTGCTCTCGAATATACAGTTCCCTGAGTATTTATGGGGAATACTTGCAGCTAGCTCCACCTACTAAGTAGATAGCTATAGGCCATCTACCAAGCCACGCCTTAACCGGCGGCTTGTTTGAAATACATACCCGGTTACCTGTCTGCAATTACTGACTTAGCACAGGCAAGGTCAAGTCACCTGACCTGACTCTTGATCAACTTGTGGTCATTAACTTATCTAAGTGTGATTTTTTTAATGGCTGACGGACTGACGCCTCTCAAAATATTGTCCGGCTAACTCATGTTGTATATACATATTAAATACAAAACACCTTTATGGTGTTACAAGTATACTGCCTTCTCCAGGTGAATATACTGCCTTCTCCAGGTGAGTATACTGCCTTCGCCAGGTGAGTGTACTGCCTCCTCCAGGGGAGTATACTACCTACCTCAGGTGAGTATACTCACCTACCCCAGGTGAGTATACTACCGACTCCAGGTGAATATACTACCTACCCCAGGTGAGTATACTGCCTTCTCCAGGTGAGTATACTGCCTTCTCCAGGTGAATATACTGCCTCCTCCAGGTGAGTATACTGCCTTCTCCAGGTGAGTATACTGCCTCCTCCAGGTGAGCATACTGCTTACCCCAGGTGAGTATACGTCCTACCCCAGGTAAGTATACTGCCTGCCCCAGGTGAGTATACTACCGACTCCAGGTGAATATACTACCTACCCCAGGTGAGTATACTACCGACTCCAGGTGAATATACTACCTACCCCAGGTGAGTATACTACCGACCCCAGGTAAGTACACTTCCTCCTCCTTCAAATCACTTGTGGTGTCCCGTCTTGAGTACTGCTCAGTACTCACTCCCCTCCTTCAGAGCAGGAGAGATTGCTGAAATAGAGGGAATACAGAGAACATATACGGCATACATAGATGCGATAAAGCACCTAAATTATTGGGATCGTCTCAAAGCTCTCCAAATGTACTCATTAGAAAGAAGACGAGAGAGATATCAAATAATATACACATGGAAAATACTGGAGGGCCAGGTCCCAAATCTACACAGTAAAATAACAACGTACTGGAGTGAACGATATGGTAGAACATGCAGGATTGAACCAGTGAAGAGCAGAGGTGCCATAGGCACCATCAGAGAATACTGTATGAACATCAGAGGTCCGCGGTTGTTCAACATCCTCCCAGCGAGTATCAGAAATATTGCCGGAACAACCGTGGACATTTTCAAGAGAAAACTAGATTGTTTTCTTCAAGGAGTGCCGGACCAACCGGGCTGTGGGCCTGCGGGCCGCTCCAAGCAACAGCCTGGTGGACCAAACTCTCACAAGTCAAGCCTGGCCTCAGGCCGGGCTTGGGGAGCAGAAGAACTCTCAGAACCCCATCAAGCAGGCATCAAGCAGGTGAGTATACTGTCTCCTCCATGTTAGTATACTGCCTGCCGCAGGTGAGTATACTGCCTACTCCAGGTGAGTATACTGCCTGCTCCAGGTGAGAGTATACTGCCTGCTCCAGGTGAGTATACTGCCTCCTCCAGGTGAGTATACTGCCTGCTCCAGGTGAGTATACTGCCTCCTCCAGGAGAATACTGTCTGATCCAAGTAAGTACACTGCCTGCTCCAGGTGAGTATACTTCCTCCTCCAGGTGAGTATACTACCTGCCCCAGGTGCGTATACTGTCTCCTCCAGGTGAGTATACTGCATGTTCCGGGTGAGTATACTGCCACCTCCAGGTGAATATACTGCTTGCCCCAAGTGAGTATACTGCTTATCATCCGTCTCACCCTAGTCTCACTAGCCTCACCCTTAGGCTCACCCTAGTCTCACCCTAGCTTCACCCTAGTCTCCCAATAGCTTTACCCTAGTCTCACACTAGCTTCACCCTAGCTTCACTTTAGTCTCACCCTACCTTCACCCTAGTCTCACATTAGCTTCACCCTAGTCTCACCCTACCTTCACCCTAGTCTCATATTAGCTTCACCCTAGTCTCACACTAGCTTCACCCTAGTCTCACATTAGCTTCACCCTAGTCTCACACTAGCTTCACCCAAGTCTCACACTAGCTTCACCCTAGCCTCACCCTAGCTTCACCCTAGCCACACCCTAGCTTCACCTGAGTCTCACCCTAGCTTCACCCTAGTCTCCCACTAGTCTCGCCCTAGTCTCGCACTAGTTTCACCCTAGTCTCACACTAGCTTCACCTGAGTCTCACACTAGCTTCACCCTAGTCTCACCCTAGCTTCACACTAGCCTCACCCTAGCTTCACCTGAGTCTCACCCTAGCTTCACCCTAGTCTCACCCTAGCTTCACCCAAGTCACACCCTAGCTTCACCCGAGTCTCACCCTAGCTTCACCCTAGTCTCACCCTAGCTTCACCCTAGTCTCACCCTAGCCTCACCCTAGCCTCACCCTAGCTTCACCCTAGTCTCACCCTAGCTTCACCCTAGCTTCACCCTAGTCTCACCCTAGCCTCACCTTAGTCTCACCCTAGCTTCACCCTACAGGTGAGCGCTACGACGCAATGTTCTCAGCTGAGCAGGACCCGGATGCCTCAGGAGGGACGTACTGGTTGAGGGTGACCGGGGGCGGCCACTGCTCGGGGCTCCAGCAGTTCGCTGCCCTTCAGTATCTTCCCTCCAACTACACCCTCTACCAGCCTCTGCCGCCCATCCCGCCCACGCCCACGCCCGCCACCAATCCCTCGCCCGGAGCTGTGAGTATATGCAGCTCTCTCTCACAATCTGAACAGCCTCAAATTACAGATGATTTTACCAAACCAGAAGTGAACAATTCCACACAACTCACCGAACCTCTTAGGACCGATATGCTTATGGTCTTAGGGTGGTGGTGTTATCATGGGGGTATTGTTGTGTGGTGGTGTTATCATGGGGGTATTGTTGTGTGGTGGTGTTATCATGGGGGTATTGTTGTGTGGTGGTGTTATCATGGGGGTATTGTTGTGTGGTGGTGTTATCATGGGGGTATTGTTGTGTGGTGGTGTTATCATGGGGGTATTGTTGTGTGGTGGTGTTATCATGGTGGTATTGTTGTGTGGTGGTGTTATCATGGGGGTATTGTTGTGTGGTGGTGTTATCATGGGGGTATTGTTGTGTGGTGGTGTTATCATGGGGGTATTGTTGTGTGGTGGTGTTATCATGGTGGTATTGTTGTGTGGTGGTGGTGGTGGTGTTATCATGGTGGTATTGTTGTGTGGTGGTGGTGTTATCATGGTGGTATTGTTGTGGTGGTGGTGTTATCATGCTGGTATTGTTGTGTGGTGGTGTTATCATGCTGGTATTGTTGTGTGGTGGTGTTATCATGCTGGTAATACTGTGTGGTGGTGTTATCATGCTGGTATTGTTGTGTGGAGGTGTTATCATGGTGGTATTGTTGTGTGGTGGTGTTATCATGGTGGTATTGTTGTGTGGAGGTGTTATCATGCTGGTAACACTGTGTGGTGGTGTTATCATGCTGGTATTGTTGTGTGGAGGTGTTATCATGCTGGTATTGTTGTGTGGAGGTGTTATCATGGTGGTATTGTTGTGTGGTGGTGTTATCATGGTGGTATTGTTGTGTGGAGGTGTTATCATGCTGGTAACACTGTGCGGTGGTGTTATCATGGTGGTATTGTTGTGTGGTGGTGTTATCATGGTGGTATTGTTGTGTGGAGGTGTTATCATGGTGGTATTGTTGTGTGGAGGTGTTATCATGCTGGTAACACTGTGCGGTGGTGTTATCATGGTGGTAACACTGTGTGGTGGTGTTATCATGCTGGTATTGTTGTGTGGAGGTGTTATCATGCTGGTATTGTTGTGTGGAGGTGTTATCATGCTGGTATTGTTGTGTGGTGGTGTTATCATGCTGGTAACACTGTGTGGTGGTGTTATCATGGTGGTAACACTGTGTGGTGGTGTTATCATGCTGGTATTGTTGTGTGGAGGTGTTATCATGGTGGTATTGTTGTGTGGAGGTGTTATCATGGTGGTATTGTTGTGTGGAGGTGTTATCATGCTGGTATTGTTGTGTGGTGGTGTTATCATGCTGGTATTGTTGTGTGGTGGTGTTATCATGCTGGTAACACTGTGTGGTGGTGTCCCTCAGGAGGAGTTCAGTGGTAAGTGTGGCAGCGAGGGTCAGCGGTGCCTGGCGGCCCTCCGGGCACAAGTGCCACTCCCAGAGAAGATCCTGAACCTGAAGGCCACCTTCACCTTCTACCTGGCCTTCTCCTCCAAGAGCGTCCACAACCAGAACTTCTACTCCTTACTCTACTATAACATCTACGATGGTAATGCATATTTTATTCACACAAGACGGTACAATGAGTCCTAAAAGTTCATAAGTCGGTGATTTAAGTTTGACTTTCTTGCAAGGCCGCTAATGTGACTTCTCTTGACGCCCTGACATGTTCCTAAGTCTGGATAATCCCGTGGGTCCACAGAGAGCGAGGAGAAGCGAGTCAAGACCCCGCAGATCAACCACCTCACCTTCCGCCCGCCTCCCAAGCCTCTGCTCGTGAACAGAAAGCCGCTCCGGTCGGAGAACTGCAACGCTGATGCGGTGCGCCGAGGGCAGTGTAACGCAGACTTCTGCGAGTGTATCCACTCTCTAGACGTGCCCCTCGGGGCTGTCGTCGATCTCGTCCTTATTGGCGAAGGTAGGTCAGGGGACCCGCTCGTGAAGCGGCCCACAACAGTCTCTATACAAAGCAGTTTACACCTGCGGTCAGTTACACAGTCACTAATCCTACTCCATACCCACCTGGCTATACAGTCTTGTACAGGCTGCACCTACAGTCAAACAGTCAGCAAACTTTGGATACTTGGCTAATATTCCTGGCAGTACATCATTTTGAATGAAGTACTTACACATTTCTTGGGCACCACTGACAGATTTATCTCTCAATTCTCCGATTTTTTTCACGTTCGATTGCATAGTGACGCACAATAAGTGAATAGCTGTAATGACAGTTTACATTTAGTCAAGTCTACATCAGCAGGTGGTGCAAACTCCCAGAGGTACTTGCAGCCGACACTAATCCAAGCAGCGGTAACGTCTGGAAGTCTGTTAACCTTATATTAGATGACACATAGATGTGCTTCACAATAATGATGATTGAGTAACTGGTGTGAAAGTTAACTTTGCTCAAGTCTACTAAATTTTGCTGCAGTTCCCAGTATATCATTGCCCTCTGGCTGTGAGTCGCATGTAAAGTGCCTTTCATTCCTAAACAGGGAGGAATAAATACGTAGATTAACAGGTATTTGGCCACTGTTAATAAGGTCGGGCAACTTAGGTACTCTCTCCAAAGGTAACTCTCTTAGTTCCCTTAGGTAACTCTCCAAAGTTCATTTTTACACTTTACCATAGTCTTAGTAAAGTATAAAAATGAACTTTGGAGAGTTAATTTTTCAACTTAACTCGACAGTGAAGAACAACGTAAGAAATATTGAGAAGATTCGTGTTAGAATCATTAATCTTACCTTTTCGGTCATATTCAACATATTATATATATATATATATATATATATATATATATATATATATATATATATATATATATATATATATATATACAGTATATGTAATTACCTTAGTGTAGTTACAGGATGAGAGCTACGCTCGTGGTGTCCCGTCTTCCCAGCACTCTTTGTCATATAACGCTTTGAAACTACTGACGGTTTTGGCCTCCACCACCTTCTCACCTAACTTGTTCCAACCGTCTACCACTGTTTGCGAATGTGAATTTTCTTATATTTCTTCGGCATCTTTGTTTAGTTAGTTTAAATCTATGACCTCTTGTTCTTGAAGTTCTAGGTCTCAGGAAATCTTCCTTATCAACTTTATCAATTCCTCTTACTCTTTTGTACGTAGTGATCATATCACCTCTTTTCCTTCTGTCTTCTAGTTTTGGCATATTTAATGCCTCTAACCTCTCCTGGTAGCTCTTGCCCTTCAGTTCTGGGAGCCACTTAGTAGCGTGTCTTTGCACCTTTTCCAGTTTGTTGATGTGCTTCTTAAGATATGGGCACCATACAACCGCTGCATATTCTAGCTTTGGCCTAACAAAAGTCGTGAACAATTTCTTTAGTATTTCGCCATCCATGTATTTAAAAGCAATTCTGAAGTTAGAAAGCGTGGCATAGGCTCCTCGCACAACGTTTTCTCGATAGTTTTCTATCTAGAACCATCCCAGATCTCTTTCTTTGTCAGAATTCTTTAAAGATTTCTCACATAATTTATAGGTTGTATGGGGTCTATATTTCCTGTTCCACATTCCATAACATGGCATTTATTCACATTAAATTCCATTTGCCAAGTGGTGCTTCATATACTTTTTTGTCCAGGTCTTCTTGAAGGACATGACAAACATCTAAGTTTCTTATCCTTCCTATTATCTTAGCATCATCAGCAAACATGTTCATATAGTTCTGTATACCAACTGGTAGATCATTTATGAAGACAATGTTCAACATCACCGGTGCAAGAACTGAACCCAGTGGTACTCCACTTGTGATATTTCTCCAGTCCGATACATTGCCTCTGATTACTGCCCTCATTTTTTTATCAGTCAGAAAATTTTTCATCCTTATTAGAAGCTTACCTGTTACTCCTCCTATATGTTCCAGTTTCCAGAACAACCTTTTATGTGGAACTCTGTGGAAAGTCATTTTTAGGTCCAGATAGATGCGGTCAACTCAACCATCTCTTTCCTGTAAAATCTTTGTGGCTCGATCGTAGAAACTGAGTAAATTCGATACACAGGATCTTCCAGATCGAAAACCATACTGTCTGTCTGATATTATATAATTTCTCTCCAGGTGTTCTACCATTTAGTTTTTATAATTTTATCCAATATTTTGACTATTACACTTGTCAATGATACAGGTCTATAATTGAGGGGGTCTTCCCTGCTGCCACTTTTGTAGATTGAAACTATGTTAGCTTTTTTCCACACACGTGTATGTGTGTGTGTGTGTGTGTGTGTTTAAATCACGAAAATTAAGGCGTAATGATATATTGATATATATTTTAATATATATATATATATATATATATATATATATATATATATATATATATATATATATATATATATATATTACCTAGTAGCCAGAACGCACTTCTCGGCCTACTATGCAAGGCCCGATTTGCCTAATAAGCCAAGTTTTCCTGAAAAATAATATATTTTCTCTAATTTCTTTCTTATGAAATGATAAAGCTACCAATTTCATTATGTATGAGGTCAATTTTTTTTATTTGAGTTAAAATTAACGTAGATATATGACCGAACCTAACCAACCCTACCTAACCTAACCTAACCTAACCTATCTTTATTGGTTAGGTTAGGTTAGGTAGCCCAAAAAGTTAGGTTAGGTTAGGTTAGGTAGTCGAAAAACAATTAATTCATGAAAACTTGGCTTATTAGGCAAATCGGGCCTTGCATAGTAGGCCGAGAAGTGCATTCTGGCTACTAGGTACGACATATATATATATATATATGTATATATATATATATTTATTTATTTATATTAACTTTTAACTTTTCAATGTGAAAACTACATCAGTTGAGGAATTTGGCATAATTTCGTCTATCCCAAGTTTGAAGATGGCTGTAGGAAACCAACCACAACAGTCACCTGCTCCATGAACACTGGAAGTGAGGGGGTAGGTTTGACAGCACCTATGACAGGATGCAGGTCATTTACGCTGCGAGAGTTAGGTAGGCAATATCGCTCTTCCTCATCCCCAGCTTCCTAAACCCAGCCTTCCACTCCCCAGGCCCGACCAATGGTACCCCATACCCGGTCCACCTTCACGGGTACAAGTTCTGGGTACTGAGCCACGTGGATGCCTCCAGGGTACCCGAGGTCTCAGAGGTTCCTAGCAGCGTCAATGCGACCTCACCTTCGTCAGACAATAATACCATAGTCGTCGAGGGCGCCTTGGAAGCTCTGACCGCCGGGTTGAAGAGCGAGTTCCTCACCAGGGAGAAGGTGATGCAGTTGGAGAAGGAAGGGAAGTTGGTGAGATCAATGGAGGATCCAGTCATAAAGGACTCGGTCGCCATACCCCCTGGAGGCTACACTATTGTAAGAATCGCCGCAGAAAACGCAGGTCAGTTCAACCCTTCCCGGTTTCATCCCCCGAGGGAGGCGCCCCAACCACACGGACTGGTCGGTAGAGCGACGCTCCAGTTGCTTGTGGTCGACGTTTGATACCCGATGGTCCAAGTGGTTGAGCACCGTTCCTTCATCCCTCCCTCATATCCCATCTCCTCGTCATCATATTCCTTCCAAATATTATAGCTTTCTCCTCATAACTTCCTTGCCTTTCCCCAATGTTGTATGAATGTTAATTTTACCCATTGAGTACGATAGCTGAAATCTAGAGAACGGAGCACATACTTCGAATTACAGCGGTGACTTAGCCAAACTCCACGGGTACTTGAGCTTATATCAGTGTGGCCGTTAAGTTAATGTGTAATAATACGATATTTTCTCGACGTACGATACGTCTCGTTAATGTGTAATAGTAATAGATATTTAAAAGGCCAGCGTCCTGGTTAACACCTGATTTCCAAGGATTTTCTCACATACATCACGCCATTGTGAATTTCCTCGGAATTTTATTATTAATATAGAATTTGAGCCTATCTTGAGATGATTTCGGGGCTTAGCGTCCACGCGGCCAGGTCCTCGACCAGGCCTCCATTTTGTTACACACCCCTCCGGGAAGCAGCCCGTAGCAGCTGTCTAACTCCCAGGTACCTATTTACTGCTAGGTGAACAGATGCATCAGTGAAAGAAACTCTACTCATTTGTTTCCGCCTCCACCGGGGATCGAAGCCGGAACCTCAGGATTACGAACGTCGAGCGCCGTCAGGCCCCTGACTGTCAGCCTAACCTCGAGTCCAACAGCCATCTGAACAAGATAACTGATCCGTTTTTAGTGTACCTTTTAGCCACCTGTAATTAGGGTGACATTACCGTGGTGACGCTCTTGTAACCCAAGTGTCTTGTAACCCAAGTGTCTCGTGACCCAAGTGTCTCGTGACCCAAGTGTCTCGTGACCCAAGTGTCTCGTGACCCAAGTGTCTCGTGACCCAAGTGTCTCGTGACCCAAGTGTCTCGTGACCCAAGTGTCTTGTGACCCAAGTGTCTCGTGACCCAAGTGTCTTGTAACCCAAGTGTCTTGTGACTCAAGTGTCTCGTGACTCAAGTGTCTCGTGACCCAAGTGTCTCGTGACCCAAGTGTCTCGTGACCCAAGTGTCTCGTGACCCAAGTGTCTCGTGACCCAAGTGTCTTGTGACCCAAGTGTCTCGTGACCCAAGTGTCTTGTAACCCAAGTGTCTCGTGACCCAAGTTTCTCGTGACCCAAGTGTCTCGTGACCCAAGTGTCTCGTGACCCAAGTGTCTTGTAACCCAAGTGTCTCGTGACTCAAGTGTCTTGTGACCCAAGTGTCTCGTGACTCAAGTGTCTTGTGACCCAAGTGTCTCGTGACCCAAGTGTCTTGTGACCCAAGTGTCTCGTGACCCAAGTGTCTCGTGACCCAAGTGTCTCGTGACCCAAGTGTCTCGTGACCCAAGTGTCTTGTGACCCAAGTGTCTCGTGACTCAAGTGTCTTGTAACCCAAGTGTCTTGTGACCCAAGTGTCTCGTGACCCAAGTGTCTCATGACACAAGTGTCTCATGACCCAAGTGTCTCATGACACAAGTGTCTCGTGACCCAAGTGTCTCATGACCCAAGTGTCTCGTGACACAAGTGTCTCGTGACCCAAGTGTCTCGTGACCCAAGTGTCTCGTGACCCAAGTGTCTCGTGACCCAAGTGTCTCGTGACCCAAGTGTCTCGTGACCCAAGTGTCTCGTGACCCAAGTGTCTCGTGACCCAAGTGTCTCGTGACCCAAGTGTCTTGTGACCCAAGTGTCTCGTGACCCAAGTGTCTCGTGACCCAAGTGTCTCATGACCCAAGTGTCTCGTGACCCAAGTGTCTCGTGACCCAAGTGTCTCATGACCCAAGTGTCTCGTGACCCAAGTGTCTCATGACCCAAGTGTCTCATGACACAAGTGTCTCATGACACAAGTGTCTCATGACCCAAGTGTCTCATGACCCAAGTGTGTCATGACACAAGTGTCTCATGACCCAAGTGTCTCATGACACAAGTGCCTCATGACCCAAGTGTCTCGTGACCCAAGTGTCTCATGACCCAAGTGTCTCGTGACCCAAGTGTCTCATGACCCAAGTGTCTCATGACACAAGTGTCTCATGACACAAGTGTCTCATGACCCAAGTGTCTCATGACCCAAGTGTGTCATGACACAAGTGTCTCATGACACAAGTGTGTCATGACACAAGTGTCTCATGACCCAAGTGTCTCGTGACACAAGTGTCTCATGACCCAAGTGTCTCGTGACACAAGTGTCTCATGACCCAAGTGTCTTGTGACACAAGTGTCTTGTGACTCAAGTGTCTCGTGACCCAAGTGTCTCGTGACACAAGTGTGTCATGACACAAGTGTGTCATGACACAAGTGTGTCATGACACAAGTGTCTCATGACACAAGTGTCTCATGACACAAGTGTCTCGTGACCCAAGTGTCTCATGACCCAAGTGTCTCATGACACAAGTGTCTCATGACACAAGTGTCTCATGACCCAAGTGTCTCATGACCCAAGTGTGTCATGACTCAAGTGTACTTCACTGGTGTCACTTGGGCTTCTGACACCTGGTTATCTTGAGATAACCAGGTCATCTTGAGATAACCAGGTTATCCTGGCACTAATTACTTCCACAACTATGTGAAACAGGACGTAAACCTGTTTGGTTTACAATGGTTTAATTCTTTATTCTGGGTTTAACCATGACCTTGGTTTAATATACTTGTACAGTAAGATAATGTCCTTAGAGTACACAATTTACGGCGTACTGGAAGGTTCCACTCACTGAGGTAAGCTTAAGTGGATGGTTTGACTCACTAAGATGGCTGAGGTAAGCTTAAGTGGATGGTTTGACTCACTAAGATGGCTGAGGTAAGCTTAATTGGATGGTTTGACTCACTAAGATGGCTGAGGTAAGCTTAAGTGGATGGTTTGACTCACTAAGACGGCTAAGAAACACTTAAGTGGGTGGTTTGACTCACTAAGATGGCTAAGAAACACTTAAGTGGATGGTTTGACTCACTAAGGTAACCCTAAGTGGATGATTAGAGTCACTAAGGTGACTAAGGTAATCTTAAGTGGATGGTTTAATTCACTAAGGTGACTTAAGAAAACCTTTAGTGGAAGGCTTGACTCAATTACCTGAAGTGGAAGGTTTGACACATAAGGTAACCCCCAAGGGGTATCAGGATGAACATAACCAAGTTGTTGTTTAAGATTCGCTACTTGGAACAAAAAGTTCCAAGTAGCACGGGCTATGGCGAGCCCGTGTATAACCAAGTGTTCATGCATGCGTTACCATACTGTGATAACGTAGCACCACAAACACTGACGTAACCCGGGTGCGGAAATACATTATAAGATTCGCAATGAAATCAAACTTCCTCCAGACTAACGCTTCCGAACCTGTACACACACTTAACACATAAAGTATTCCCTTAGTAGTAGGCATCCATCAGTCTAAGGAGACTATGGAGTTGCGCTCTGGTTGTCGGTCTGGAGTGGCCTCACCAGGGCACAAAGCCAGGGTAGGTTGATTCGGGGGAGAAGCTGTTACCCATGCAGCGGGTCCCCCCCTCTCCACGGCGCTGAAAGTCTCCAATGGAAAGGCATACGCCAATACGATTAGTTCCAGCGCCGTCGCAGGAACTGTGAGTTCCGGGGTTGACCTCGAAGGTGGTGCAGAAGGGCACAGGGACCTCCAAACCCGGAACAAGTGTCTAAGAAATTGTTAATAATGTTTGGAATACCAATGGATTGGACAGAAACAACTGCACCAAACTGTTCTGAAACAACTGTTCATTTCAGCTCTCGTTTTTAAAGATGAAAATACTCTCGGAAATATTGAGTTTAAGGCGAGACGAACTACAAGACAAAGCATGGGAAAAATCGCTGTAGGTGAAGGGGGTTACTGGCCTTCATCCTGGCTGTGATCTCTATACTAGCAGAGGAAGCACCTTGCCTAAGAGGCAGAGCAGGACGGTAAGAGACACACACCATATGTATGTTCATAAATACGGTGTCTAAAGTTTCCTGAGATATCCCCCCCCCCACACACACACATATCGAACGTTATACTTCGAACATTTAAACAATTAAACAACACCAGATCTTAGTTGAAAGGGTAGTGGATCCCTACGTTTTAAACAGCTTCCAATGGTGGTAGTGTTGAAATTGAAATTGAAATAAGTTTATTGAGGTAAAATACACACAAAGGTATGAGGTAGCTCAAGCTATTCTCACCCCGTCCAGCAAGAACTAAATTGATTTGGGGACAGGATTAGGGGCCCTGACAGCTGATTGGGGTAGGGCTTCGGATTCGTAGTCCTGAGGTTCCGGGTTCGATTCCCAGAGGAGGCGAAAACAATTGGCCAGAGTTTATTTCACCCCTGTTACCTAGCAGTAAATAGGTACCTGGGAGTTAGACAGCTGCTACGGGCTGCATCCTGAGGGTGTGTAACAAAAAGAAGGCCTAGTCGAGGACCGGGCCGCGGGGACGTTAAGCCCCGAAATCATCTCAAGATAAGGTATGTCTAAGAATATCTTTAAGATTTCCTTCCTTTATGCCATAACTTACTGTACCCAAATATAGAAATTTGACATACTGTATGTCATTAGGGACTGTAGTAACCTTAAATTACATGTGTGTGTATTTGTGTATACAAAGATATATAAATTATAACGCTGTATTGGTAATATGTGGGCGACTCCGTCAGGTGTGTGGGCGCTGGAGAGCCAGGTGTTGATGGACGCCCAGGCGGGCATGGCCCTCGTCCTGCAGGTGGGCACCGCCAGCGACCTGCCCAAGACTCCCCCGATTGATTTCCCAACCTGCTGAGACTCCACAAAAGAGTTGGGCTCGTTACCCCCCATCGAGTTGTAGTGCCAGCACCATACACAACACCGTCACAACACCGTCACAACACCATACCCAACACGTCCACCAACAACACCAGAATCTCACAACACCTTCACACTCGCCATAAGACACATAACAGCCTCTCAACAACAGCCTACAACAACACAAATTCCCCGCCACACACTCTGTATAACCAAAATAACCTCTTATTCTTAACCTAACCTTATATACGTATCCTTTACATAACCATTCTATTTTTATGACATTATTTATGCTATGACTTAAGAAATAACTGAACGTGTCATCCAAAGTGAATATTTTAGTCGTGTGTGGAACTCTGCGTTCGTGCGTCAACGATCCGACTGGCAGGAATCCGACTTCACACAGGATATTAGGCTATTGTGTATTTAGTATAGATGGCTTGTATTTTTTGTATTTAATATCGTTGTATGTTGCGAATGACGTTGTAGAACTAAAGTAGCAAAACATGAAGAACTAAAGTAGCAAAAACATGAAGGAATTAAATGGTTATAGTAAGGTTTAATAGTGTATTGTTCATGGTAGGTAGTTACTGCCTTGGCCAAGAGAGATAGTTTTGGTGGTGAAGATGGTGTGGTGTTGAGCCTATCAGTCATGGGAGAGTTGTTAAGGCCTATCAGTCATGGGAGAGTTGTTAAGGCCTATCAGTCATGGGAGAGTTGTTAAGGCCTATCAGTCATGGGAGAGTTATTAAGGCCTATCAGTCATGGGAGAGTTGTTAAGGCCTATCAGTCATGAGAGAGTTGTCAAGGCCTATCAGTCATGAGAGAGTTGTTAAGGCCTATCAGTCATGGGAGAGTTGTTAAGGCCTATCAGTCATGAGAGAGTTGTTAAGGCCTATCAGTCATGGGAGAGTTGTTAAGGCCTATCAGTCATGAGAGAGTTGTTAAGGCCTATCAGTCATGAGAGAGTTGTTAAGGCCTATCAGTCATGGAGAGTTGTTAAAGCCTATCAGTCATGAGAGAGTTGTTAAGGCCTATCAGTCATGGGAGAGTTGTTAAGGCCTATCAGTCATGAGAGAGTTGTTAAGGCCTATCAGTCATGAGAGAGTTGTTAAGGCCTATCATCCGTGGGAGGGGATATTAAGGCCACTTACTGACCAACCAGCAAGTATCCTTTGTCCTCAACATTGTACAAGACTATGTCGGAAAATCCGACACCATTTAATATAACATACAGACAGATAATAATAGCTGTGTTGTATAAACAAGTTACCCATAGAAAACGTAACTTGTAGTGGAATTACCGTCTATAGAAAACGGGATATCATCACCACATACTATTTTCAATTCTTCACCTATTATGGTGGGAATTATTCTTAAATACATTAGTCTTTGGACTTTACCATCATAAAACATTTCATATAAATTAACTTAATTATCAATATTAAAGTAGAGTAAATGTGACCCTTCTATCACTTTCTGTAATAATAAAAAAAAAAAAAAAAAAATCACTTTCTGTCATCTGGACAATGTAAGCCAGGCGTCAGTGAGGAAGGAGGGAGAGCCATTGTTGATATTAGACCAGAGGCTCACGGGAGCAAATTCGGCTCCTGTTAATTTTACTTGGACGAAGTGTTATGGAAACCAAAGGTGTACCATTATCAACACGCTGTCAACAAATCAAGTTAAGTGTTCTTCCGAAACCCATGTATCTTTCATTTATGGCCATTAATGTCATTATATAGGGTGGTCCGGTTAGAGCACGTGGTAGCCTCAAACTAAAGGTAATTAAGCAAGGTCTTTATTGTTCCATGTACAGTGTTTCTCTGATATACCTGTCATATATAGGATTCTGGCTTTACAGCTAGCGCCCTTTTGACAGGTCAAGACGAGGAAGCATGCTTTGTGCATCAGTTACCAGGGTGATGGAAGCTACCTCAAAGAGGGAAAATGTGGTGTCTACAACCTAGTTATACCTGGTGGACTAACCTGCTGTACTATAAGATAAGGAACCTCTTCAATGTATGTAGTCTAATACTGTAGTTTGATTGGCTGCATATATATAAATAATATAAACCCCCCTAATGTGTAGAGGATCGATTTGTGAGATTATGAGATTATTGCAGAAATACAGTTCACTTATCATTATACAAATTGCTATCGAAGTATATAAATTAACGTAAATATAAATTCTATATATATTCATATAAATTAAATAAATATAAATCTCACAGGTCGGTTCCCACAGACTAAAGTAAACTCTCGGGTTTACACCGAGAAGCGGGGTATACATGTCCCTGGTGGTGGTGTAGCCTTGAGTATTGTAACGAGGATACTCCTTAAATATCCCCACTGCTGCTCCCACTCTCTTCCCCCCCGACACCTCTACCACAAACACCAACGCTGCTTGCACATACACTCACAAACAAACACCTTCACGTTGCGTTAGGACATTATTCCTTACACAAGTCCCTACACCCCTTACACCAACACCACAGGTCAGGTCAGGTTTAGTGCTTAAGTCTCTTTGACGATTTTGCTCTCTAAAATTAAAATGGCACAAAAACGTAGTCTTTGTTGTGAGTAGAAGAGAGATATCACAATCACGGAGCCAACCTGAGAACAACAAGGCGAGACCATGTACTCAGACTGAGAAAGCAAGAGGGCGTTCTCACAGAAAATGATAATGAGGTATGCGAGGAACTCAACGGCAGATTTCAGGAAGCCTTTACATTATAACCAGCATAAAGACCGAGGTGGCAAGACAAAAGGCTGGAGGAAATACTGGATGGCAATGTAGTCACTGTGGAAGAGGTGAGAACAATCCTGGAGGAACTAGAGGTAACAAAATCAATGGTGGCCAGACCTGATCTCACCCATGGCTGCTGAAGGAGGCTGCAGTCTAAACTCTGTCACCTATTGTCTAAAATTTCTAATAAAATGTTTGAGACAGGAAATCTTCAAGATGTCTAGAAAAAGGCAAACATACGTCACAATATTCAAAGAAGGGAGAAAGTAATCAGGTTGAGAATAGAGTAAGATCTTGATAAGACTGACTTTGTGACAAAAAATCAGCATGGATTTAGAAATGGAAAGTCGTACTGACAGATATGATTGAGTTTTATGACAATGTTACTACAATAAGACATGAAAAGGAAGGCTGGGGTACACTATTTTTCTAGACTGTGAAAGAGAATTTGACACGGTTCCCAATAAATAGTTTACAACTGTTTGTTGTGTAAGATGGAGAAGCAGGCTGGAATAACTGGGAAAGCACAGAAGTGGGTGAGGGAGTACCTGAAGGAGAGGAAGCAAAGAGTCACAGTCAGAGAGGAGGTGTCAAGCTGGAGGAAGGTACCAAGTGGGGTCCCACAAGGCTCTGTCCTGGGACCACTGCTCTTCATAATATATGTGAACGACCTCCCCGAGGGAGTGAGCTCAGACATGTCAATGTTTGCAGATGATGCAAAGCTGATGAGCAACGTGATAACAGATGATGACTGCAGGAAGATACAGGAGGACCTTGACAAACTTCAGGAGTAGTCCAGCAAATGGTTGTTGGAATTCAGTTCCAACAAATGTAAGGTAATGAAGATGGGAAAAGGAGAGAGGCGACCAGGAGGCATCTATACCATAAGAGGGAAGGCAGCTACAGGAATCAGAAAGAGAGAAGGATCTGGGAGTGGATATAATTCCAACACAGGAGGCACATATAAACAAGAAAACATCGGCAACATATGGGACGCCGGCATATGTAACAACACCGTTTAGAAACCTAAATCAGGAATCCTTCAAGGCAATCTACACAACATTTATTAGAAAGTACTGGAGTATACATCACCGGCATGGAATCCCCCACCTTTAAAAGCATAAAGCCAAAAGTTAAAAAGTACAAAGGTTTGCAACAAGACTGGTGCCAGAGCTACGCGGGTTAAGCTACAAAGATGAGCTAATGGAGCTAAACCTCACAACCCTAGAGGATAGATTGAACAGAGGGAATATAATTACAACATACAAGATACTGACGGAATAGCTAAGGTAGACAAGGATAGCCTCTTCATATTGAGAGACAGCAGAAGAAGAGGACACAAATGGAAACTGGAAACGCAAATGAGCCGAAGGAGCGTAAGAAAGTACCTGTACCCTGTACGGGTAGAAACAAGTGAAATGCTCTAAAAGAAGAAGTTGTGGAAACCACCTCCATCCACAACTTTAAAGCCCGATTTGACAAGGAATTTGAAAGTCAGAGTAGTTAGGTTGTAAGGCAAAAGGTACAAGGGCAGTAGGCGGGGGGCATAAAGAGGTGGCCCTCACTCCCTCGAGACACTGACAGGTAAGTACACCACCACCATCACGGAGAAGATATCATCTTGAAGGAAGGTCAAAACCTCCCCACAAGTAACAACAACATTACCCCATTCACGGCGCCGCCACCACAACCGGCCCATCACCACCACAACCGGCCCATCACCACCACCACCGGCCCATCATCACCACAACCGGCCCATCACCACCACAACCGGCCCATCACCACCACAACCGGCCCATCATCACCACAACCGGCCCATCACCACCACAACCGGCCCATCATCACCACAACCGGCCCATCATCACCACAACCGGCCCATCATCACCACCAACAACACCCGCCATATGCACCCTCTCTATAGGCCAGTGTTGTTGCCACGTCTCAATGTTTATGTATTAACAGCTGATTTATGATAACTACTTATGTACCTTAGTAGTGCTATTTGTGGTGATACAGATATGTAAACATATATTATGTCAGTATGAACGTGTGTCAGTATGAACGTGTGTCAGTATGAACGTGTGTGTCAGTGTTAACACCATGTATCTCCACCCTCTGTATGTATTACTCACTCAGTATTACTAATATGTATTAACCATTGTATCTCTGTACGACATTTGAATATGAGTTTGCAATAAAGCAATTAATGTTATAATTTGTATATTTTTATATTAACGACTAACGCTTCGTGCCGCTGCCACTGCACTTGTATATCCATATCACATATTCCCTTTTGCAACTTTGCCATTTAATACTAAAATGAACTTATGCACATTTTTTAATTGTTTGAAAACGAGAAATTTCATAGGGGAGCAAAACATCAGCATACTGAAGCCTTTAGGTAAGAAGACCCATGACTCTCTCCCCACGATATCTACGCCTTAGGCGCCGGTCCAGCTTAGCCGGTCAGTGTAAGCCCTCTGCATCCTCTTCGTAGACACTGCAAACTGCAGAGATAAGACAAGCGTGTAGCTGTAGGGAAGATTTCCGTCTGAGTTTCAGTGAGGGATCGTCTGCCAGTGATATACCTGAAAGACGTCAGCCCTCGTCACGGGTTCTCGCGCCTTGGAGCCCATTAACTCTGGCAAGAAGGGCGTGGATGACGTGCTGACCCCAGTCACTACGATGAGTGACCTCGACGACCCCAGTCACGTCTGACCGGTCGCCATGCTGTCCCGATTGCAGAAGGTTCTTGATGACTATAGAGGAAGGCATCATGCCCACCATCGCTCTCTCTGCCCAGTCTCCAACCTTCGCCAGGCTGCAGAGACGCGGGAAGGACATTACGGCTCAAAATGAAATGTAAGGATGAGGAGACACTTCTCACGGCTCGAGAGGAGATTGCAAGGTATCAAAACTGGAAAGTGTACCTCGTATCAGAAGGGGGGAGGCATACACTAACGTCTGTAACAACACTTGTCTATGCGAACCCAAGAAGTTTTTAAAACCCAAAGGCACGGGATGGAGTACAGAAATTTCCGGGTGATATAGAGAAATCTTGGGGGGGGGGGGGGAAATGAGGACTGACGCCTCCTCATCTGCCTCCAGTGAGGAGGGGTACATGCCCAACTTATCAAGAAACAGTAGACGGGGGAAGCAATTTCAAGACCAGCGATCACTTTCTCTCCATACAATCTACCACTTACTTTTGTGTACATTACATTACCAGTGAAGGTGTGTACACTTCTCTGCACACTATATAACTTTTGGCTCGTAACAGTACGAGCCAAAATACAGTACTTGTGCTGTATTACAGCACAAGTACTGTATAAGTACGTACGAGCCATCATGTATTCCATGATGAACTACCACACTTACTGTACCCCAGCACAAGAGAGGGAGGGAATTATCAAGGGAAAGCGCCAAGCCATTTCGACTATATAGCACTGAGAAGGAGTTAGGATAAGGATTTTAGATGGGACGGCGGGAAAGGAACCCGCCCAACCACTTGGTGGACGGTCGGGGATTGAACGCCGACCTGCACGAAGCGAGACCTCCCAAGTTTTAACTCCAAGCCACAGTATTATTAAACGAACCTTAACAGCATATTAACCATCCTGCTCTCAAGACCGGGTCCTCAACCAATCTCCGCTCAGTAAAAAGTCCCCCCCCCACCCCACCCCTGGTTCAAACCTCCTCCCCCACCCCCCAACCCCCCCGATACAAGACCGAAACAAAAAGTACGTGTAGCATTCAAAAATTACAGCCCCGCTCCTGTGCCAGGTAAGTCCACTACGGGCTCACCATAGCCCGTGCTACTTGGAACGTTTTGTTCCCAGTAGCTGAATCTTAAACAACAACATGAAGAAGGTATGTACCGTCACAATAACGTCACAGGGTTCAAGGGAGTACGGGTGTTATAGAGCCTACTAGTACACACAGGACAGCCCCGCTCCTGTGCCAGGTAAGTCCATTACGGGCTCACCATAGCCCGTGCTACTTGCCCCGCTCCTGTGCCAGGTAAGTCCATTACGGGCTCACCATAGCCCGTGCTACTTGCCCCGCTCCTGTGCCAGGTAAGTCCATTACGGGCTCACCATAGCCCGTGCTACTTGCCCCGCTCCTGTGCCAGGTAAGTTACGGGCTCACCATAGCCCGTGCTACTTGCCCCGCTCCTGTGCCAGGTAAGTTACGGGCTCACCATAGCCCGTGCTACTTGCCCCGCTCCTGTGCCAGGTAAGTTACGGGCTCACCATAGCCCGTGCTACTTGCCCCACTCCTGTGCCACGTATAAGTTACGGGCTCACCCTAGCCCGTGCTACTTGCTCCTCTCCAGTCCCAGGTAAGTTACGGGCTCACCATAGCCCGTGCTACTTGCCCCTCTCCAGTCCCAGGTAAGTTACGGGCTCACCATAGCCCGTGCTACATGGCACTTGTTCCGAGTAGCTGACTGTATCAGAACAACATAGCGCAGACACCGACGTTGGTCTTGACGCCGGCAGGAGGAGGCGAGGGCAGGGCCCGGGTATATAAGGCGGGTTATGGCGGAGGAAGTTCAGTTGAGTGGTGAGAGAGGTGCCGGGGCGGTCATGTGGACGACGGTGTCTCCACGCCTCCACTTGCTACCCATCCTCCACCTTCCCTTCTTCCTCTTCCTTCTCCTCCGCCTCTTCCTAGTCTTCTCCACGGCCCAAGGACGCGCCTCCCCACCAGGTAACTCATCTTGTCTCCTCCTTCTCCTATACTCTTCCCTTTCCCTCCTCTTCTCACAACTCCTCTTCATAGTACTTCTTTTACCATGTTTGACAATAGCTTTTTACCTGACAATAGCTTTTCAAAGCTATTGTCTTATAATTGCTCAGCGCTGATATCTTATGACTGTTCAGCGCTGATATCTTATGACTGTTCAGCGCTGATATCTTATGACTGTTCAGCGCTGATATCTTATGATTGTTCAGTGCTGATATCTTATGACTGTTCAGCACTGATATCTTATGACTGTTCAGCGCTGATATCTTATGATTGTTCAGCGCTGATATCTTATGACTGTTCAGCACTGGTATCTTATGATTGTTCAGCGCTGATATCTTATGACTGTTCAGCGCTGGTATCTTATTTTTGTTCATGGCTATCTTATTTGTTCAGGGCTATCTTGAAATTGTTCAGTGCTGATATCTTATGACTGTTCAGCACTGGTATCTTATGATTGTTCAGTGCTGATATCTTATGACTGTTCAGCGCTGATATCTTATGATTGTTCAGCGCTGATATCTTATGACTGTTCAGCACTGGTATCTTATGATTGTTCAGCGCTGATATCTTATGACTGTTCAGCGCTGGTATCTTATTTTTGTTCATGGCTATCTTATTTGTTCAGGGCTATCTTGAAATTGTTCAGTGCTGATATCTTATGACTGTTCAGCACTGGTATCTTATGATTGTTCAGCGCTGATATCTTATGACTGTTCAGCGCTGGTATCTTATGATTGTTCAGCGCTGATATCTTATGATTGTTCAGCGCTGATATCTTATGATTGTTCAGCGCTGGTATCTTATGTTTGTTCAGGGCTGATATCTTATTATTAAACACTGATATCTTATCATTGTTAAGCTCTGATATCTTATGATTTTCCAGCATTGATAGCTTAGGATTTTCCAGCGCTGATATCTTATAATTTTCCAGCGTTGATATCTTATGATTGTTCAGCGCTGATATCTTATGATTGTTCAGGGCTGATATCATATGATGATTAAGTGCTGATATCTTATGATTTCCAGCGCTGATATTTTATGATTTTCCAGCGCTGATATCTTATGATTATCCAGCGTTGATATCTTATGATTGCTCAGCGCTGATATCTTATGTTTGTTCAGGGCTGATATGATATGATTAAGTGCTGATATCTTATGATTTCCAGCGCTGATATCTTATGATTTTCCAGCGCTGATATCTTATGATTTTCCAGCACTGATATCTTAGGATTTTCCAGCGTTGATATCTTATGATTTTTCAAAATTGTCTCTTCAGCCTTCCCCTCTCTTAGCGTTGTCGCTTCAGATTTCTTTTCTCCCATAGAGGTCATCAGTAGCCATTGTTAGCAGCCAGTAATGTCAACAAAGATCATAATGATAGCTTCTTAGCGCTGTTACTAGGATGTAATATTAAGAACAGTACAGTTTCTTAGTATCATAAGTTAAGAGCGTTTACTTCCCCAGGTCCGTGGTGGTCAACATCATCGGAAGGGGGCGTGGTTAGTCAGCCTGTCTGGCCACGCCCTCCGGAAGGAGGTGTGGTTAGCCATTCTCTCTGGTCACACCCTCCAGAAGGAGGCGTGGTTAGTCAACCCGTGTGGCTACGCCCACTATCCACCCTGCCTCACTTCGACTCCTATCCTTCGTTCGTCACCCACCACCACCACCATCAGGCGGCCTTCGGCTCTGCTAGTGATCTGGGGGACTACGACGACCTGGTGAGCCCCGGGGACCTGGTGAGTGCTGACAACCCTGATCTGATGGGCGCCGACAGCTCCGTGGACTCGATGGACACCGGTGATATAGTGATCCCTGGGGATCTGTTGAGCTCCGGGAGGGTAGTGAGCTCTGGGGATGTGGTGAGCACTAGAAGGATGGTGAGCACTGAAGAGCGTTTCCGTCAAAATGACGTGCTATTCCCCGGTGACATAGTGAGCCCCGAAGACTTTTTAGACTCTGGTGACTTGGTGATTCCTGGGGACCTGGTGCGCTCGGAGGACCTAGCGAGCACCAGTGACCTGGAGAACCCTGGACGCACTAAGCGGAAAGTTATCTCCAGCGGCGGTCACTACATCGTCTGGAGCAGGTCCGGCACCTCGCCCTGGAGCTCCACCAGCTACGAGAGCGTCGTCGGGGACTACAAGATCAACCACCACCGCGAGTACGGCTGGAACCCCCGAGGCCAGATCGGCGATGGCGGCTCCAGGAAGACCTACCCTCCCCAGCGGGAGCCTGCGAGAGACCGACGCAACCCCAGGAAGAAACTGAGCAAGTCCTTCAAGAGGGAGATCGCCCAGTACGCCATGGTGTACGGGACGCAAAACGCGGCCCTCCACTACGAGAAGACCATCGGCAGGAGACTTAGAGACAGAGTCGTCAATAAGTTCGTCCAGAGATACCAGGAGAGACGGAAAAGAAGGAGGAGGAGGAGACGACGACTCGGTCAGACTTAAGAGACTCGTGTGAGACTTAAGAGGCTGGCGTGAAGTCTTAACGAGTGAGGTGGAGCACTGTTTTCCCATCTGGAGGAAACTGAAGAACACGGGGAAGGTCTCCATGTTCATCTCACTCAAAGCCTCATCTTGAAGGCGCAGGGAAACCTCTTGAGGGCTGCGAAGTACCCTTAATAGCCCAGAGAACCTTCCAGAGAGTCCAACTGTGGTGTTGAAGCAACATGTGACTCCATACCTGGCTGCTGGCACTGCCTTCACCTGTACCCTTCACTCCATACCCATACTACTCCATACGCTAGTCCCCCTCATCCATCCCACACCCATACCACTCCATAAGCTAGTCCCCTCATCCATCCTACACCCATACTACTCCATACGCTAGTCCCTCCATCCATCCCACACCCATACTACTCCATACGCTAGTCCCCTCATCCATCCCACACCCATACTACTCCATACGCTAGTCCCTCCATCCATCCCACACCCATACCACTCCATACGCTAGTCCCCTCATCCATCCCACACCCATACTACTCCATACGCTAGTCCCTCCATCCATCCCACACCCATACTACTCCATACGCTAGTCCCTCCATCCATCCCACACCCATACTACTCCATACGCTAGTCCCTCCATCCATCCCACACCCATACTACTACATACGCTAGTCCCTCCATCCATCCCACACCCATACCACTCCATACGCTAGTCCCATCATCCATCCCACACCCATACTACTCCATACGCTAGTCCCATCATCCATCCCACACCCATACTACTCCATACGCTAGTCCCTCCATCCATCCCACACCCATACTACTCCATACGCTAGTCCCTCATCCATCCCACACCCATACGACTCCATAAGCTAGTCCCCTCATCCACTCCACACCCATATTGGGTAAACTAACTGCTCTAAAAGGTACTTTATTTTTTCTAAATTTGTTATTCACAAATAAAATTTGATAAACAGACTACTCTTTACTTTCCTTAAGCTAGTGACGAGCTGCAGGAGACAGAACACGGGAGATAATTAAGATAACTTTTATACAGAAAAAATTATTTTTACTGTAATTATTTTATTTTCTCTTTCGCGCTGTTTTTTTACAGCCACATTATGGAATGGATCACCACCCTATTCTACAGCCATATTATAGAATGGATCACCACCTATTCTACAGCCATATTATGGAATGGATCACCACCCTATTCTACAGCCATATTATAGAATGGATCACCACCCTATTCTACAGCCATATTATAGAATGGATCACCCCCTATTCTACATATATATTATGAAATGGATCACCCCCTATTCTACAGCCATATTATGGAATAGATCACCACCCTATTCTACAGCCATATTATGGAATGGATCATTGCGTCGAGGTACATAAAAAACGACGACAATGTTAAAGAGCAAACCCGTAATATGAATAATGAAAGCAATGCTGAGAAAGATGAGAGCAAAACTGAGAAAGATGAGAGCAAAACTGAGAAAGATGAGAGCAATACTGAGAAACATGAGAGCAATACTGAGAAAGATGAGAGCAAAACTGAGAAAGATGAGAGCAAAACTGAGAAAGATGAGAGCAAAACTGAGAAAGATGAGAGCAATACTGAGAAACATGAGAGCAAAACTGAGAAAGATGAGAGCAAAACTGAGAAACATGAGAGCAAAACTGAGAAAGATGAGAGCAAAACTGAGAAAGATGAGAGCAATACTGAGAAAGAGGAGAGCAATACTGAGAAAGATGAGAGCAAAACTGAGAAAGATGAGAGCAAAACTGAGAAAGATGAGAGCAAAACTGAGAAAGATGAGAGCAAAACTGAGAAAGATGAGAGCAAAAGCTGAGAAAGATGAGAGCAAAACTGAGAAAGATGAGAGCAAAACTGAGAAAGATGAGAACAATACTGAGAAAGAATACGGAAAGGAAAAAGTTAGGACAAAAAACACTACCCTCAAACAGAGGTGGCCAAGGCATGAACAGGAATACACACCCAGAATAAAATCACAAATGAAAATATTTGCAAATATTATATAAACGGAATGTGCAGATAGGGGCTCAAAGGCACAGAATGCACATTCATGCATCCCCGAAAAATGCCGAAACACATTAGGGAGGGGTAAATGTCCTTTTGGAACAAAGTGTAGACATTTTCACCCTAAACTATGCAAACTTTCAGTTAATGAGAGAAAATGCTGTGATCTTCAATGCCCTGACTTTCACGTGAGAGGTACACAGCGCTATAGCAGAGAGAGGAGGTCCAATATATTAATAATTAACCCCTGGAAGTTTTTTAGAGGCAGGTAGAAACAGAGGAGCAGGCAGACAGAAACGTTGTAGGAGTACGGATGGGGAGGGGGAAATGCCCAAGACTGGACTACAATTCGTCATCAAGCCCACACATACTACACACCCCCAACTACACAGAAACTACCACACTACCCAGTACCACTACCAAAACTGGACGAACCACTGCCAGAACAACACACCCTGGATCAGGATGGAGAGGAGGGAGAACTACCAAAACCCTTCAAAAGTAATAGGCATTATTGAAAATTATTCAGATTTGCAAACATACAAAGCCTAAAGTCAAAATCAAGAAATAAAGTTAAGTTCATAAATGGCCGTCTAGTAGAGTCAAACTCAATATTTGGGGCATTCACGGAAACTCATATATGAAAGATTACATGTGTGTATATCACGAAAATAAACACGTGATAAAAAATTTGAAAAAACACGTGAAAAAAAATTGTAATGAAAGTAAGTAGTAATTATCAAAAGAAGGCACCAAACCGGGAAGGCTATGTAGCACCATCAAATACGCAAAATAATCAGAGGGCGCTAAATATCACCAAGGATGCCAATACGAGAACAAAAACGCATAAGGCGAACGATATCAAAAGTATCCGAGTCACCAAGAATTCTATCGAGGGACAGGTGACCGCGAGGGGCGGTCGGAAAGCAAGACACACGCTCGTCCTGGAAGTCAGGACATTCAAGAAGGACATGCACGACCGTAAGAGGGACAATGCAACTAGGACAATAAGGAGCAGGGCGGCGCTCCATCAAGTGACCATGGGTTAAGCGAGTATGGCCAATACGCAACCTCGCTAGAGCTGTTTCCCACCGCCGGTTACGGTGGAAGGAGGACGGCCACGAGGATGAAAGATTACATGGATAATGAAATCTGGATTCCAAATTATAATATATATATGTGATAGAAAAACTAGGTCAAATAGAGAAAGGAGTAGGTCTGTATATTAAAGAGGATCTGGTATGCACAGAGCTACTAAACTCAACCAATGAGGTGGTAAAGGTACTTGAAATCAAGGCAGAACAAATAAACCTAATTATTATACTAATATATAAACCGCCAGATACAACGGTTGAAGAATTCGCAGATCAGATGCACAAAATAGAGAACATATAAATTGTCATCCACACTTCCGTGGAAATGAACATTCCATTCCCCTGGACTATATGGGTCTCGAACCCCGGATCCCATGCGTGTGAAGCCCTAGCTAGCACTAGCAACTTGACTATTAACAGTCTTAAAAAAGGAAATTTTCAGAAGAAAATTTCAGTATGCATCAGGATGCTGCTTCTGAAAGCTTTTCTTTTTAAGACTGGTGATAGCCAAGATGATAGTGCTACGGCCTCACACGTGTGGGGTCCAGGGTTCGAGACCTATACAGTCCAGGTGAATACAAGAGTTTTTTACATTCTTGTAAAGCCACTAGTACGCATAGCGTTTCGGGCAGGTCCTTAACCCTAATTTCCCCGGAATACGACCCCGCCGAATCGTTTAACAACCAGGTACCCATTCACTGCTGGGTGAACAGAGGCTACAGTTAAGGATTGGCGCCCGGTCAATCCTCCCCGGCCAGGATTCGAACCCAAGGCAAGGCGCTTGCGAAACGCCAGGCGAGTATCTTACCACTCCAAAGAACATCCTTGATGACCAAGCAAACCCAGTTCCAGATATTATCTTCCTTGGAGACTTCAGTCTACCAAGTCTAAAATGGAGAATGGCAAACAATAATATCATAGCAGGGAACTAACCTAGAAATACTCAACCACAGGTCAGAGAACTTGTTAGATTCTGTGACAAATTCTCGTTCAATCAACAGATTACAGAACCAACTAGGAACGAAAACACACTAGACCTGATATTCACAAACAATGATGAACTAATCAGAGACATTACAATCTCAGACACTATATACTCAGACCATAAGCTCACTGAAGTGCAAACTAACATTAATAACGGTAGTAGGTCCAAGAGACCCAACAAGAGAGAAGGATTATTCAATCAATTCAGTCTCAACAATAAGAGGATCGTCTGGGGAAAAATAAATATAGACCATGCAAACATTCAATGGGAAACGGTCTTAAGCAACAAAATTCCCACACAGGGAATAGCTCAACTGACAGCTGAAGCATACAAGGTCTGCTTGAAGCCTGTGAGGAGTGTAAGAAAGAGGACCACTCTAGAGAGTAAACACTGACGACTGTACAGAGGGAAGGAACAAAATTTCGGAAATGCTTAAACAGACACGACTATCACAAAAAAAGGAAAATAAATCTAAATAGGGAGATCGAAGAAATAGAGCAAAAGCTGAAGCAATCATCCGAGTCTGAGGAAATGGAATTGGACCAGGTTCGTACACAGAGGACAACAAAGAAATGAGTGAAATTCTAAGAAGCCAATATAAGGCTCTGTTTAGCACATCAACAAACAACATAAAAAATCAATAGGAATAACGGGTAAAATGGGGCGTTGGATTTTCAACTTTCTGTCAAACAGAATGCAGAGAGTGACGGTCAATCAAATAAAATCAAGTCCATGTGCAGTGAAAAGCTCTGTAAAATTAGTAAGAATTTAAAACAAAAAAAATCCATGCATAAATGTTCGTAATAAGGCAAATAGGACACTGGGATTTATTAATCGAAGCGTTAGTAATAAAACATCTGGTGTTCGTCAGCTATATCTTGCTCTGGTTATGCCCCATTTAGGTTATGCAGTTCAGTTTAGGTCGCCATACTATGGAATGGATATAAATTCGCTAGAACGCGTCCAGCGTAAGGTGACAAAGTTAATCCCGTAAATTAGAAACCTGTCATATTTCTATGAGAGTTTTCAATCAGATTTAAACTCAGTCTCAATTAGAAACCCAGTTGATAGCAGAAAGAATGACAAAGCTTAATTTACATTCTCTAGAAAGGCGAAGAATTATGATAGAGGCGTACAGGTGGATGAATGGCCATAACATAGGGAATATTAATAGGGTATTAAAAGTATCAACACAAAATAATGGGTATAAATTGGATAAGTTTAGATTGAGGAAACACCTGGGTAAATACTGGTTCGGTAATAAGGTTGTTGATTTGTGGAACTAATTAACGCGTACCATATAGAAGTAGGATCCATTGATTTTTTTCAAGCGTAGGATAGAGAGATTATCCACCCAATCGTAAGTTATCGACCCATCATAGGTTATCCACCCAATCCCATATATGAATGAGATTGGGTGGATATAAATAGAAGCTGCCTCATATGGGCCAATAAGCCTTCTGCAGTTACCTTCATTCTTATGTTATGGGCTTAACAAGAGCATTATACAGCTGAAGAATAACACCAGCTGTTTAAATGCTAATGCTTCTGGAACTAATATGTAAGATACGTTCCAGTGCCCATGTGCCTTATTTCGAACATCATCATTTCGAACATGTTCTTGCTACCTCACTTCCCACTGCCACACATCTCCACACAAGACCCCCAGATTCCCCTTCACATTCTATGGCATTATTGTCCTTGTCCCCCCCCCCTCACCCATCACTGTGGGTGATGGGTGGGGGGGGGGGGGGCCTGGGGCACAGCACCCCAGGCCCGCTTGCCCACTCCCTCCCCCCTCACTCTTGTAGAGACCCTACAAATATTTACAACCTCCAATCAATCTCAGCAC